CAGTCTGCCTCGTTTTCGTGTTGCCTGTCCTCCCATAGGTTAATGACCAGGCTGTTAGGGCCTGGGTACCGTGTAGACACTATTTGATCCCTGTCTTTACACACTGTAGTGTCCTGAAGAGCTTGGACGAGTATCTGTGCTCGGACTGAGCCAATGATATCTCCCTGTCCTCGCATTGAGTGCCAGATGCATCATGGTATGCGACAGTATTTCAACCACCTTATCTCGGATGGGGAAGGAGCCAACCACCCCAGGTCTGGAGGACCTAAAGGGGCATCGCTTCTCGGCCTTTTGGCTAGATCTCTATTTCTCTATTTCTCTGTAAAGTAGAAATTTAGAAGTTGCTTTTTTCGGCTGGCGGCGAGGGTGGGTAAGTTTTTTCTAGTGAATTTTCTTATCCATGTTTTCTCGCCGTCATGCCTGAACGGATCCTGAATGTTAATGACCCACTCGCCGCCGCGATCCCTCGCGGATCTGATGATTATGTTATGTTGTTATATTAATTCAGAAGAGTTCAATTGATGGTTCTGTGCATACTGCTTAACTTTATGAAGACGTTTCTGCAGATGAAAGTTTTGAGAATGAGGAGTTTTGGGACGAGGTTTCTAGACTTGAATGGGATCATTTTGATTCTCTTCACGTAGACAAGGCTCCTGTTAATGCTACTTATAACTGTTCTGAAGTGCCGAAGAAATTTACATGATAGATTTCTCACCGACTTCGAGCGAGATAATTTCCACGTTGAAAATGTTACTCTGGACAGGCCGTGTTTGGCTTTTTTTCGTACCAGGCAATTTGTTTCTGCTGCTGAGGTGTTCAAGGCGCTTAACAACGATGGTTTTACTACAAATCACATTCGCTGGTTGCAGTGTAAACTGGAGAGCCACTAATCCAGGTAATTTCTGAGAGTAATAATGAGCCGAGCGTTAATGAACCTAGTGGAACACCAGCACTGTTTACCCCCCGGAACCGTCGCCTGCCCTGGCCAGCGAGAACTTGATGGATGGATCTTGAGAGTGCCCCCTGGAGTTGTCTGACGCGCTACTATGTTTGCAGAATTCCAGTCATCATTTGCAAGTGGTTTCTTGTAGTAATAAATAATGTCAGAATCCGTAAAGAACTATCCATTTCCTTCTCTGTGGACACGGTGATTACAAGCCAAGACATCCTCGTTGGATTCGAGCAGGCCGGAATAGATATCTATGATATTACGTCCATTCAACACCGAGCTAGCAACAATTCGTGGGTGGTTACTTTTGGAAGTAAAGCTGCTAAAGACGCTGCCCTGAATGAACAGTCCATCAATATTGCTGACTGCTCTGTCCTTTTGGGGGACCGCGAGAATAAAGTTTCCATTGTAAAGATTTACGAGCTGCGCGACCAGCTCCCTGACTCGGTTGTTATCGACCGTTTGAGCCATTACAGCCGAGTTATTTCTTTCCGGCGAGACCGCGTGGCGGACACCATTTTGAATGGTGTTCGCACTGCGAGGATGACCATCAAACGACCTATCCCAGCTCAGGCTTTTATCGCTGGCGAGTCCTGCCGTTTCTGCTATCCGTCACAGCCTAAAACCTGTAGGGAAGTGTGGCGCCGAGGATCACCTTGCGGCTCCATGCAACTCGCAAAGATGCGTTAATTTCGAGCGACCCGGCCATCGCGCGGAGCAATGTGACATTCCGGCGCTCTGCCGCGTATGTTTTTCGGACAGCCACGAAACCACATCCTGTCCTTTCATTTACTATAGTTCTAATGTAACTGGTGCAAAATCCGCGGAAAAGTCCTACTCTGGTGCTGCACAGAACGGAAAGCTGGCCGCCAATGCAAGAAGAGACGAGGAGGAAAACAGCCGTGCTAAGTGCAAAGAAGAGGAACGCGCGAGATGCAAAGATCGGGCACGCAAGGAGGAGGAGAAAGAACGGAAGGAGAAGGAGCGGAAGGAGAGGGAGCGAATGGAATGGAAGGAGAAAGAAAGAGGAGAGATCGTGAAGACCGAAAAGAACGTGAGAGAAGGAAACATGACAAGTACTCCGAAAGAAGATATAAGGATGATGATGGCTACAGAAGGGATGGGAGGAGCGATCGCGAGCGGGATCGCGATCGCACTTCTCGCAATTGATCCTCTCATCGCGACCGTAAAAGTAACGATAGCGGATCAGACAGTGAAGAAGGATGGACCCGAGTGTCTTATTGGAGAGATAAGGGCAAGAGTAAGTCATATTAGTTAGTTTAATTTAATAATTTTTCGCTTACAGTGCCCTTAGAATTCTTACTATTAATGTTCATGGACTAGGCACTACCAGTAAACGCGATCTCTTTCTTCATGAGTTGAATGAAAATCTAGCGCTTGGCTAAGAATTGGTGGCCTATATCACTTCCTAATTGTGATTACAAATTAGCTTCGAAAATAATTACCGACCGTCTGAAACAATTTATGTCCTCAATCATGATCAAACTTGTAGTGTAGTTAATAGATCGATTTTTTCTGACTTACATTTGATCCGCGATACCTTAGATATGATAAACAAAACGGACGAGACCAGAATTTTAGTCACGCTTGATCAGATGAAGGCTTTTGATAGAGTACATCACGATTTCCTCATGAGAGTATTAGGTAAGTTTGGTTTCAGCCCGTCCTTTTGTCGTTGGGTTTCAATTTTTTATTCGAATGTCTTTTCACGGATCATTTGCAACGGTAAACTTTCTGCTCCTGTTTTCTTGGAGAAGGGGGTTAGAAAGGGATGCCCTTTCTCCCCCCTTCTCTACGTTTTAACCTCTGAAGTTTTAGCGAACCAAATCCGTAAAAACCCTGCGATTGAAGGCTTCTCCCTGGAACAGGTGGCCTTCAATTTAAAATATCGCAGTATACCGATGATGCCACTAATTTCGTAAAGAACGAGAGATCTCTCTGTCACCTTCTAGAGACTGTCAACAGGTAAGAGAGGGGGTCTTGGGCCAAGCTCAACACCGCCAAGTCCAAAGCGATGTGGCTTGGTAGATGGAGAGCTAATGGCGCCTCCCCCTTTGGCTTACAATGGGTTAAAAAACTTAAGATTTTAGGAGTTTATTTTTCGAATGGATTAGTAAATGCTGATGAAGATAATTGGCGTTGTAAATTAGATAAGTTAAAAAGGACATTAGGGCTGTGGTCGCAAAGAGATCTTTCTTTTCTAGGCAGAGGCATGATTCTAAACGTCCTTGGGGCTAGCAGATTTTGGCATGTTGCCAAGGTACTCCCCCCCCAAAAAAATGGGTTTCTGTTGAATATAGGCGAGCTGTTTGGCCTTTTGTCTGGAAATCCAAGTCCGAAACTGTAAGCCGAGCGCGTTGCGTGGCCCCCATTGCGCGTGGGGGTCTGAATATTGTCGATTTTGAAAGCAAGTGTTCAAGTTTGCATTTGTCGAGTCTCTCTGGGTATTGGGAGGGATTCGGCACATGCAAATGGCACTTTCTAGCTCGTTATTTTTTCGGAAATCGCTTTTCTAATCTTGATCCTAGTTTTGATTTTTCTTCTCGTTCAATTCCTTTGTCTTCTGAGCCGTCTCCCTTTTATCGTAAATGTCTATCTCTGTTATCTTCCTTGCGTAGTAAACACGGCTCTTTACCGGACGATTTTTCTTGTAAAAATTTGTATAGTCTCCTTCTAGATCTTCCGAGCGCCTCTCCGCGTTCCTCCGGTTTCTGGGCCGCTTCGCTTAGGAGGCCGATTAACCGGTGGGCTGTGGTTTGGCGCAAGTCTCATCTTAAGTTGATTGGGGATAAGAAAACTGATTTACTTTGGCTCATAATTCATCGCGCAATTAAGAGGCGCTCCCTGTAAGAACCAGCCACTCGAATTTCCGCGGAAACAGAATTCCTTCATTTTTTTTCTGCGACATAACTAGTCCATTCCATTAACAAAAAAATCGAATTTGTTTGGCTCATAGTGCTTTTTTAAAAAAATTTGGGCGGCGATTTGCCTGGACGATCCAAAGCTGTCTTGATCGTCTTTTTCAAGGTCAAATTTAAGCGTTTTGATCAAGGCTCGCAAAAATTTCGCATTTATCCAAGTAGCATAAAACAAAAGTATAATTTTAATTCATGCTTCCTTTATTCAAAGAAGGCAACATATTTAAATTCTGACTTTAAAAAGACGAGTTATGATGTTTTGAAAATACCACGTAAAGCGTCCTTGAAAAAAAATGCGCGGTTGTCTTAGTTTTAAAATGAGCTTTTTTCAAAAGTCTGACGTTATCTGGAGTCTTGGTCACCACCCCTGTTCAGTACTAGGGCTAGTGTATTGAAATCAAGAAAAACATTTTTGGGCACTGTTGATTCCGAAGCACAAGAGTTCGATAAAGTTGGGTAATATACTACTGTAATTGTGCGTATGACGTAATTTACGCATTTTCCTGATTCCGAACTTTCTTACTACAAAACTAAAAATCATCACTGTCAGTGAGCAATTATTTTCAAAACTAAGTTAATGCTGGGGATAAACAGTGAACATCTTAAAATCCACTACATATTGTCCTTAAATTGGGATGTTACCAAAAAATTGTTGCAGCTCCCGTGAATGTTGCTATGTCAAAGTTGTGGCTATTCAGTTAAGAAATCTGATAAATGTTCATAGTTGTTCGAAACTGAAACTACTAGTCAGGCTTAACGAGGTAGAATAAACAAAGTAAAAAAAAACCTGGCTACTTTTAAGAATAAAACTGTTTTGCTGGTTTACTATTTCTTCAAGTTTTTAATTTAATTTAAGTTAATTTTTCTGGTGTCGTTCACTTAATTTAATTTCGTATGCAAATTTGTAACACAAAACGAAGAGCGTATTTACATTGTGCCGGGATAACCTTTGCAGATAGAATGGCTGCATTTTGTTCTTTTTCCGCTGAATAACAGGTGGAAAATGAGGAAGTAATCGAGGATGTGTAGATTTTGTGTGCTTGAATAGGAGCAACGCTGACATCAGTTCACACCTAATGAATCACCACCTGTCAAGGGAAAATGTTTGCGAAATGGATCTGATACTGGCAAGGGCAGGTCTGTTAGAACTCACTAATGATCAGATCAAGAATGTGACGGTTTGTCTAGTCCATCGCTACACTTTGGGAAAATACTGGCAAGCTCCAAAGACCTGCCAGTATCCAAAACATCAAGGGAAGAAAATGGCAATAGCCGGAACAGATGTTGTTAATTTCAAGACTGCAAGGGAAATAAAAAATATCTTTGGAGAAGCCGTTCCCGTTGGCTCACGTAAGTACTATCAGACTAGCAACTATAACTGTTTTATTCTTTCATTTTACAATTAACATATCAGAATTAAAAGGTTTTGTCTTCCTTCACATTTCAACTAAATACTTTCGTTCGTAATCTACTTACTTAAAAGCGAGCTATAGACTGAGGTGAAGTCCCATTCTATATATTTTCTGAACGATAAACGTCGATTCCGTATTTGATAGTATTTTGCAGCCAGAAAATCATTTCCAAACAAATAACATATCAAATGATCATAATTTGGTTTTTGTAGTTCATTAGCAATAGTTCTTTGCTGTGCGTCATCCATAAATCTGGTTGCTGATTTATAGCCCATATAATATAATTTCCAAGTTGGGATATAAAGATATAGCTTCTTTTATCACCTTAGTAGTAAATCTAGTATTTTTTAACAAGTCTTTCCAGGTTGCAGAACTATTTTTTGCTTCTTTTTCTTCCTAGCTATTTGCACAACGTACAGAAAGAAACACAGTGACGAATTAGATCGGAAATCAGACTGGCTATACCCTGAGGAAACTGAGGGAGATGTGCTCCTTCAAAGGTACTGTCGGAAGGGTAGTAGTTTGGTTGTTGTTTTATAAAAAACACACACACGGTTGTCCTGTCAGGTTATAAATCCTATCGCAAGGCAACTAAGTAGCAGCCTATCCATTTCCACGGACCTGCTAAAGAGGCTGCTGTGGGAGGCATCAGTCGCCTGGTCACATTGACTCCATTTCTTGAAGACCAATCAACGCCAGCTTCCCGGAATCCCACAACACTATGCTGGACTCCAGGGTCAGAGGAGGCCTCTTTTACTTCACAAGTGGTAACCAATGCAGTCGGCAGGTATAACAAGGCGATGGATACTACAATTGCGAGTCTTATTACACAAGAACAAGTAGAACTCGAGCCACTTAAATATCAGCCAAAAACTCCATTCCAAAACTTAAGCGATGGGGAACAGTTGAAAGTTGTAAAAAAGGCTAAAGAGGACTGCTTGCACGTATGTAATGTAATTGCCCCAGGTAACAGGGAGGAGCTCTTCGAGCAAAGACCAGGAATTTAAATTTAAATTTCCCTCAATAGAATATTTTGTCTTTTGAATTGCATTGCAGTCTAACAAGAATACATAAATCCACAAGTGAAAAATTCTCAGGAAATGAAATACCGTCGATAAGATCAAACCCGGAAGGAGCTGCGAAAGTTAATGCCTTAGTAGACGAACTTGCAGATGATTGCTGTATCAAGTCAATTGAGTTTGGGAAAGGTGTGAGATTTTAGTAGTTTTACAAAAACTTTTAACCAAAAGACTAGCTTGTTTTGTAGTTTTTCCTTAAAATAGTGAAAGGTTTTAACCCAGGAGTCAATTTCTTAACCTTCTTACTTTCCATATTTACTCAAAAAAGGTGCCTTAACGTCTTTGTTTGTTGGTGCCATGCCTATTTGAGGGCGCTGCTTTTCGTTTTAAGTAGTGACATGGCAATGAAACTTGAATTTAAAATACTCTAAGAGTACTACAATGTATAACGATATACATATTATGATCACTGTCAGCTGTTTCATAGTTTGGCATTTCAATGAACTATTGCAAGGACAAGCTTTAAATTAATTCCAGATCAACCCAATCCCAATAAACGGCTGTTTTGTGGCAGGCTTAACTAAGTAGCTAATTTTTCCAGATGTAAAAGGTTATGCTTTCTTTTCCTTTGTTTCCTTTCTTATGTCCAGATGGAATCAGACAACACATTAAAGCAGTCCTCTATGAGCGCAAGAGAATGATAAATTTGGGACACAGCTATGAGGTTTGTCGAACAATTTTACTTGATAACACATGTATTTATTCTTGTAAAAAGAAACAAAATGTTTCTCCAGGGCAAAAAAAACACCCTCTGCCCCCGCAAAGGGTTTTAGGTTTGTATCAGCAGACATTCCACTAAAGGCTTTGTTTTCCTTCAAAATGTAGAGCTCTTGGTCATGAGACCCCCATCTCTGGGGGATAATTGATATGGAGCCACACAATTATTGTACCGCCTTACCTCGTATATTTTAAACTTCAAATCAGAGCTGTAAAAATAACTTTTTGTTCTTTCCAGAGAAAAAGCAAAAAGGTGCGTGAGTCAGAACCCTCAGAATCTGCATCAACGTCTGCTGGTAATGACACCAACATTTTGTCGGATGATGACTCTTCCAGTGACACATTTAATGGTAAGGTACAGAAGATTTTTATTTCAGCTTCTTATTATATTGCATGTGGTCAGACCACACGCTTATTGTTGTTCCTTGTAGAAGTTCGCATAAAAGCCCTGATAAATGATGTGACTAAGAGAGGTTTGACTGGATGTTTTGTTATTTATAATTTAAGCTTTTCATCACAAAACAGAAAGTTAGGGTCATTAGAAATTTGCTCCTCAGTTTAGAGCTCAAAAGTTGAAATTGATACTTGACTTTATACTTGAGTTTTGGCTTACCATGATTGTGGCTTCTTTGCCATTGTTTAGCTTTGTGCTTACTATATTTTTTGGAGTGCTTATACCATGCAATGTGTTATGTCTATTAAAGAGCAAATTGTCAGTAAAATGTCTACTGCAAGTTAGTGACTTGGTGGCAGATGCTGGATTTCAATCATCCCTTAAAGAGAAATAACAGGTTCAGATCAGACAAGTCAGATTGTCGGGTCTTGGTCAGATTTTCTGAAGTGCTTTCATTGTTTACCCATGATACATAACAGAGTAATGTCTAGCTGAATAATCTTATCCAAAGGATGTCTTAAGAAGATAATTCCCTTCACCATAGTCCAAATAAGTCAACAATAGCAGTCAATGCACTTGTAATCTTATTTTCTCAGTTGAAAGTCATTCCCAAATGTTTTGATGTAACATTTCATGGCAAAGCATTCCAAACAAACACCCATGCAAAAAGCAATAACCATGCAAGAAGCAGTCTGAGGCCTTGAGCAAAGTATAAGTCAAAAATTTATTATTTGACTGATCTCAGTTTCTTCATGTTATTTGTGTGTTTTTGTGCACTTTATTTGTAGAGTCAGTATCAAATCATACCCAGTGTTAAGGTGAAACGATTAATTCATCTACTAGTTTCTTCGTTTTTATCCCTAAAAACTGTTACTTATCCCATCAACAGCTGTGAGCCCCTGTATGCCTCTGCAGTCAGCAGAACAAATAGTTTGTAAAGTGTTTGGAAAGACAACATCAAGTCATGTGCACTTGCATCGTCATATTATACCTGCATGCAGGTATCTCAAGGTTCATGGAGTTAGAGGGAAATCCAAAGTGCATTGTTTAAGAAACCTGGCATCTGCTTTAAAAGAACAAGAAGTTGTTAAAATAGAGAATAATATTAAGATTCTGACAGGCGATGACATTAAGTTGTCTGGTGATCGAAATTTGCTTGATGAAATTAGGGCTTGGGAGTAATCAAATAAACAGAATAAAGAAAATAAGCCTATCAATTCATTGAGGTTTTGTATTTTCATATCATTGCATTCTCATAGTAAATATAAAATTTCATACCTCTTTGCAGAGGCAATACAAGTATGGAGATGCAAACCTTAAATATCTCAAGGACATCTAGGAGGAAGAGACGGTAGTAATGCGTGCACTCTGATAGCAATTATTCTGGGAAGAATGTTTTGTTGAAGTGAATCAGAATTGGCTATTTCCAATCAGAACAGTAATCCTCTGAAAAATTGTTAGGTTCATGCTTTAGCAAATGCTATTGTTGATGGTAACACAGTATATGACAAGAATATTTTGAACCAACAAATTTCACCTGCTTGTTACTTAGGATGTTGAAACAGCTCGCACACTCACTCGGAAAGAGTTTAAAGTTGCTACAATTAATGAACCTCTTCCTGTTTGGTTTCAAGATTCAGATGATTCACCATTAGCAACAATTGATTATCAACTTTTTCTGTTTTCTCTTAAGAAAGGGAAGCATTGTTCAATATTGACATCAAATGGTAAATCAAGTGTTATTTTAAGTGAGGGTAAGGGTAAACTTTTCCTTATAGACAACCATTATGACATTTTGTCTGGCAGTGGCTCAAAATTTGTGTTGGGAAATGCACAGGGAGTATCAGAGTTTATAAGAAAAGAAGCACGTCAGTTCACAGAGAAATTAAGGTATGGTGTATTAACAATGGTTGAGTTTTTATCATAGTATACTAAATGACATTCATCTTTTAAACCCAGCCCAGCTTTGAGGTTTACAGTTTAAGCATCTTAATTTTTTTTTTTTACTTGCATACAATTTGTTCTGTAAAATGATTTTAAACCTGGCACTTCAGTGCTTAAATCACGATCACTATATTCATGATCACTTCTATCCATTTTTTGAGAACGGTTTTTAAGAAGGAATTGTGCCTAAATTAAAACATATACACAACAAGTGGGCAGGTCTTAATGAGACACCTGCTAAAACTTTTTAATCTGTGTACAGTGAAGGCAGTTTGTTTTTGATTTGTTGATTTCAAAGTGTTAAGAATGGCACATGCTAAGACAGTAACCTTTAAAGAAAAATGTTCTGGTTGCAGTTTAACTTGTTAGCTGTTCAATTTATTTATTTCCCGCATTGCAAACACAACAAAAACACTGAAACAAAGTAATTGAATAGCTTTGGTTTGTGGAAGTTTACTATTCAAATTTATAGCTGAAAACTTACAAAAGATGTGAGGCCTTATGGTACATCCTAATTAAAATTATCGAATCACAGATAATTTGTAAGTTTAGTTTATAAGTTAAACTTATAAATACGGTTTTAAGGTCGAGTGCATTTTTGCTAGTTAACAAAGGTTATTATGATATTTTGCCACCTTGCATTGACTGGTTATAAACAAAACTGAAATAGTTGAAAGCTGATATGTATTTTATAACATACCAATGTATATGTTATGTGATTGATACATTAAAGACAGTTTGTATTCCAGCAAGCCTCGTTTTATTTCATCACAAAAATATTGTAATAAATGTATCCTGACCAAGGACGTTTAACTTACACTGTAAGAATCAGGTACCACGAAATTTAAATTGACAAAATCCCAAGTGTACACTTGGCAATTCCCAAATTTTCGAGGCAAGTGTTAAACAGTTGAATTCCCAATATTGAAACATTTTCCAATATTGGGAATAATACATTCCCATATAGGGAATAGTAAATTCCCAAGTCGTAATTCTGGGAATCGTCTCACTTTCACAAATTTAGGATTTTCTTGGGAATTCTCCAAATACCCTATAAAATGCCCAAAATGGGAACTGGTTATTTTTTCCTGTGTTTATTACCCCATTTTTATGTAACATATTGTATATTAATGATGAAATCTTATTGTGTTAAACAGAAGAAACAAACAGAATGTTTAGAACCTTCAAGGTTATAAAACAGCCAAAAATGGTAGACTTATGTTGTGGTGCACTTGCGGTGAATGTGGAATAAAAAAGTTCAAATTTGTAAAGAAGGGAAACTAATTGGGCCCTCTCAAGCAGGGGGCGATTTATTTTATACCGCCATAGCAACTGCTACTGTTCTGTTTGTCCATCACGGGCTTCCATGGATGGTTAAAAAAGCAGTTGAAATGGGAAGATATTATGGTTCAGAGGCGCTCAGAAACCCTAAATTACAGAAAAAAAGCTATCGATTACGCTTTGGACAAATTGAGTCCGATGATCCAGAATGTCGGTTCTCAAGCTCTTGACCAATTATCAGCCAAAATACCGCCAAAGAAAAACTGTAAAACAAACAGAAAAGATATTGATGGTGGTGCTTTGGACATCCACAAGGCCATTGGAAAATTACAAAGACCAGCAAGCGGATGGACCTTACTGGAGCATAAATATACAGGTCCTTACGCAATTGTCGTCTAAGCCCAGATTCAAGGTTAGTGATAAAGTCAGGATAAGCAAATATAAGAGAAAGGTGTTTGAATGAAGAGATATTCCTGGTCGATAAAATCCAGTCGACAAATCCAAA